CAACTATCGCTTCTATATATTAAACAGGTTATTCAGTGGCTAATACCAATATCTACAGATCAATGTTATTAGTGTTAATTTAAACTAAAACTATTAAAACATTTATGTTAACTGAAATAAGCTGAACCAAAATAAAATATAAATATATATTTTTAAATTATTTGGCTGAAGCACTAAAATTATGAACTGAAAATAAATAAAAACTGGAAAAAAAAAAAAATCTGAAACCTAAATAGTGATCTTAAAAAAGTGAAACTAAAAAAAAAAGACAAAAGTAAAAAATAAAACTTAAATTACAATAAAAGCTAAAAATATAAATGATAAAACCAACAATTAATGATTGTAATAAATACTGCTAGTATATAAATAATACTAACATAACACTGTGAACAAAAATTAAACTTAAATTACAATGAAAGCAGAAAATATAAAAAAAGCTAATTAAAAATTGTAATTAAAACTATACTTGTATTTAAATAGTACTAAAATAATACTAATATAATATAAAATAATAGCAATTTCTACATTTACCTGAACCCAAATGTAAACAATTTAAATGAATATGTAAAAAAAAAAAAATAATAATAATAATTAAATATTTGAAATTAAAATTAATATATATATAAAAAAAAGATATATTGATAAATATATTGGTTATTTTTGAATCTGACATGCACACAGAAAGAAAGCAGTGTAGTAATGAAGAGCGGATGGAAAGAAGGAGAGAGCGATGTTCTGGGTTTGACTGATTAGAGACGGTGGTTCGGGTCTGTGTGTGACTCTGGAGGTGTGCTCTGGTTAGGAGGTTAATTAACCTGGTTAATTAGTCTGGGATGATCTGCAGCGATGAGGCGTCAGATATCTGGGACACTTGAAGTCTGACTGCAGACGCTCTTGAGTTAAAGCATTTGTACAGAATCTGATGTTTGGAGATGATGCTTATATCTCATGTTTTGATAAACTGGTGTGGGTTTAATCAAACGGCTCGTGTGTGTGTGTGTGTTTGACAGGTGAAGTGCTGTAAGTACTGGCCCGACGACACTGAGATCTACAGGGACATGAAGGTGACGCTCATCGAGACTCAGCTGCTATTTTTAAAATTTGAATTACTTTTTAAATATATTTAATTATTTATATAAGTTGTCTTTTTGTTTTAGATTTTTATTGTGTGTGTGTGTGTTATTTAATAAAATAATATTGTAATAAAATATTAAATAATTGAAAATATTATAAAAAATACGCTGATCATAACCGACTCTCAGTGTCCTGTTCACAATCTCCAGTCTAACACAACACATCTTATCATTTATTATTGTTTTAGTATTGTCTCTATAGCTATATGTCTCTATAGCTGTTATAAATAGCTATAATGTTAAATGAAAAAAAATGTGTTTGTGTGTGTGTGTGTGTGTGTGTGTGTGTGTTTGTGTGCGTGTGGGTGTGGGTGTTTGTGTTCAGAGGGTTTGAGTCTGTTCTCGGAGCAGTAATTGTTTGGTGTCTAAAATGTCTGGTGTGGGTCTGGTGTGGGTAAAAATGTCTAAAATGGTTGGTGTGGGTCTCAGGATCAGCATGTTTGTGTGTTTGTGGTCTCCAGAGAGGAGCTCATGAGATCAGGGAGATCCGGCAGTTTCATTTCACCGGCTGGCCAGATCACGGCGTCCCGTATCACGCCACAGGCCTGCTGGGCTTCGTCCGCAGGGTCAAAGCCAAGAGTCCTGCCAACGCCGGCCCGATGGTCATCCACTGCAGGTGAAAATCCGTCTCATCTTCACTAAAACATTGTGTGTTTTGTTAAACACGTCAAACAGCTGTTGTTCTGGTCCTCAGTGCTGGAGCGGGACGCACCGGCTGCTTCATCGTCATCGACATCATGCTGGACATGGCAGAGCGGGAAGGAGTGGTGGACATTTACAACTGCGTGAGGGAACTACGGTCCCGCAGGGTCAACATGGTGCAGACAGAGGTAACCAATCACAAACAACCTCACATCAGCCGCAGCCAATCAAACGCTGCCTCTCAATACAGCCCCGCCCACTCAGACATATTTTACAAATGTCTAAACATTTACTTCTGGACATAAAGTTAAAATGAAGACAAAAAGAAATAAGTATGAATGTACAGCCTGAAACTTTGTTACAAATGTTAAAAAAATAAATAAATTTAGTATATATATTTTTTTTATATATATATTTCTGTATGTATATATAATAATTAAATAACAAATAATAAAAAATATTATAAAAAATAATTAGAATTTATAGGTACAATTTAAATATATATAATATAT